AAGAAGCAGGGAGATAAATAAAATGGACATTCCAATGGACTGCCTGCATGGTATGAACACAGGGAAGAAATTGGTGTAGGTAAAATATTTGGTACGTATCAGTTCTAGAAAGAACAAACAGCATGTCAGACTTCTATGACAATGATAAGAAATGGGTCATTACCACAGTATCTCAGTGAGGAAGATTAATTGCTCATCTCTGACAATACAAATGACCTGTGTATGATGCCCTTCAGCCATGGAAAATCTTTTCAGAAAAAGGCTTAATACAGCCCAGAACAGCATTTTTAAAAAATCAAAACCACCATTCATCACTTAGCTGAAGGTGTCATCCTATAGCATTCTATCTGTCACATACCAATCCCATGTAATCTATTAAGAATAGCCATTCTCAACTTGTGAAGGCCCTAAAAATGACATGCTTTCATTCCCATGTTTAGAGGGAAGAGATGTCTACAGCTACGCTGGCAGTCAACATAATCTGTACAAGATTTCCTCCTTACACAATATGCTAAGCAATTGTAATTGGCATTTTTTTCTGGATTCTTTACCAGTTTGCAAGAAAGAGAGACTAATTTGTAACTGTCCTCCTCAGGATAGATAATCTATTAAGATTTCAGCAAGTGGTGACACATCAGTTCACTAATTTGCAGAGGAATTTCTTAATGTCATTTTCTCAAAATTTATCTCCCATACAGTTAAAAAAGAATAACCAATTAGCAAACCTAACATAAAGTTAATGTCCAATTTCACTGTAGAATGAACACCTTTATAAACAAAAATTCCTTAAAGAAATGGTTGCTAGAAATAATTTTTTTTGCACCATTCAAAGAAACAATTCAAAAAGTTAAAACATCAAAGCCCAAATGAAGTCCTACGCACCAATTACTTCTCAGTGGAATGTTTAGTCATGCACAAGAATACCTGTATGTTTAGATGAAAGGTTCAACAAATCAAGCATTAATTTCTGATGGTGGACAGATGCCCTTTCAAAACAATGTTCAAAAAACAAGGGAGCTGGAAGACTGCCAATCCATTTTATTCTTGCTTGAAATACTGATCTCCATGAAGGCATCATGCTCTTTTAAAATGTCATTGAGACAAGTCGACTTCAAGAGTGGTCAAGGTACCAGGTAGCAAATCCATAGAGGTATGGGCAAAGGTAAAAGTATGCCCTCCCCCCAAAGATCAGCTGCCTCTGGAATAGGGTCATCACTTCACAGCAGAACACGCAGAGAGCAACTCAGGAAAGTCCTCAAGATGAAGCATTGGGACAAACAATTATTTTGGAAGATAAGTTGGGGAATCAGGGAAGTCCCTCGTTGTTCAGATCCTGAATAGGTAGGCTGATTGATGGGAGAAAGCAAGAATAGAATAGCCCATGTCATACTCTGTTTTGGGAGCTGCACTGGCTGCTAGTTTGCTTCTGGATACAATTCAAGGTAGGTCATAACATTTAAAGGCCTTCGTGGGTCCAGTTTACTTGAGGAATCATCTCATCCCACTGGGATTGCCCTGCTCAACCCATGTTAGCAGAGGAAGCATGGTGCGAGCCATGGAATTTGGGACAGTGGAGTCCAGAAGAAGAGCCTTTTCTGCTCATCCTGCTCCTTCCCTCCCCATCTTTTAATTATAGTTGCTAATTTGTATTTTTATAGCATTTTATTTTTATTATATGCATGTTTTTGTATCACTTTGTTCTTTTTAACATTGTGACCCTTCCAGAGTTATCTCATAGTGAGATGAGCAGCAAACAAATTTAATCAATGAATAAATAAAATATTTTGAGAAAAACATGATTGGTTTGAGCCCATGGCTGAGAAAGATCTGAAGCAGGTTCACTTTGAAACAACTATAACATACAAGATAATATGAGTATTATTTGCATTTATGTTGACTTCTTTATTTTCTAAAAGTGTCACACTAATTGTTTACTTCTACATTTTACTCTCCCTTTAACTCCGAAGGATACATTTTGCTGATAATGAACACCCCCAAATTACTCGGACAGCTTAATGGCTGAGCAAAGAATTTGAATATAGACCTTGTTGATAAAGACCATCTATCTCACAGTGCTGATAGCCTGCTATCAAAAGGCTATGATGGCTATTTCTATTGGATCCTGGTAGTCAGTGAGTGATGCACAGTGATGTATAAAATAGCCCCAGATAGTTTTTTGGGGTAGCAAAGACAGATTCCAGCCATTCTTTCTTTCAGCATCTATTTTCATACCATGCTGAGATGCTATCAATCTTCTGCTGCCTTCAGTTTCTGTCAGTTTCTGTCAAACCTAAAAGTTTGCAAATGGCCAAAGATTCTTATAAATCTATGCTTGTCACCACATCTCTCTGATTTAGTAGTGGCACTATGTGAAATGGAGGGTGCTTTAGGTAGTCCTTTAGTTCAATAGTCACCGTGGGCCGGGGACCACTGGTGGTCCGTGAGAAAATTTTGATAGTCTGCAGAGAAAAGCACCCAAAGCACTCACCCCAAAGCAATTAATCCAGGCTGTGCAGGAACACAAGTCTGCGCCACCCACATGGCCCACCCATCTACTGGCCCCCACCCTTCAGCTGAGTGCAAACCTTACCTTGAGTGAAGCCACGCGAACTGGAACTGGAAGGTAAGGCCAATGGCGGGGGAGGAAAATCCGACCTGGGGTGGCTTTCTGATGTTTGTGGGAAAGTAGGTCCCACATGCCAGAGCTGCAGTAGTCACAAGACTGGCCTTTTGGTCATCCTGGAGCAGCTCTTCCAGTCCATGGCAGGCCGGTACACCCGGGTGAAGGAGCTCTGGAATGACCAAAGGGCCAGTCCTGTGACTACTACAGCTCTGGAATATGGGACCGACTTTCCCACCAATGTCAGCAAGCCACCGTCAGTCAAAAATTAATATTAGTGGTCTGCGGGATTTAAAATAATGAGTTTGATGGTCCCTGAGGTCCAAAAGGTTGGTGACCCCTGCTTTAGTTCTTTACATCTAGCCAGAAATTCCAGTCAGCATTTGGGTTCATATTTTGTAAATAGTGGCATCTAGTGGAAAATAGCGGTAGTTGCCTCAGTGAGTTCTTTGACTTTAGTGTTTGATTTCTTTTGAACCAATCAGTGTCAGACACTATAATTGCTCTACAGTTGGCAGAAAATAGTATCTTTCAGTCTTGCCTTGAGTAAAAAAATTATATTGGAAAATTCAATTTTCTATTTTCTCTCAATTTGAGAGTTTCGTGGGAGCTTTCTGCAGACCAGAAGGGAATTCTATGTTCAAATTCATACTGAGCTATTACAAGTCCAGTATGTTTATGGAAATTCTCAATCATCCAGATCATGATTATCCCAAAGGTGTTTTTCAGAAGGCAATGGGCTTTCTTTTTTCCCCTCTAGAATGTGGAAAAATCTTGATATCCCTTCCTACGCTCTGATTCTAAATAATCTTAAATTAGAGATGTGGAATAGCCCCTTCTAGAAAGTGTGGGGGCATTTTTTTCAGTCTTTTTTTCAGCTTTTTTCTTTTGCATTTGTTTTTAGTTTTGGGATTCAATGAAAAATTTACTTCTTAAAATCCTACAAATGGACCTGGCCTCACACACCCTTGTGACTTGACTATTGACATACTGCAAAACAACAACATTAATGATTAAATAACAACAAAAAAGAAAAACTTAAAAAAAACCACCCTACCACTGTAATATAGTCCTCAAGCCAAGGGAACTTCAAGCCTTCTAACTTAAAGGAATTGACTGCTTAAAAGGTTACAATAATTTGGTCAATCCTATCCCAAACTGGGGAGTCTATCTCCAAATACCTGTTTTGATAAACAGCTGATCACAATAGACGGCCTAGGGAGTTTGCAAATGGCAAAAAATTCTTATAAAAATGAGTCATTGGGAGAAATGTTTTCTCTCCTCATCTCTGTGTCTTTCTTTCCCTTTTTGTCTCTCAAGATATAAAACCATTAACTTTGTTTGCCTGCTAAAGTATAGATAGCAATGATTTAGTGAAAAAAAAAGAGCCAAGGTCTGTTTTTTTAGGAGCTGTTGAAAATATTTGCAGATGTGGGAACAATGAATTTCAGGACCTTTGTTAAGAGTGGTTAATGATGTACCTCCACGTAGCCTCAGCCAGCCTCTACATGTATTAATCTAAATGCTATAAAATCCTATATGCCCCTCCGCATGCATTGCCTTCTGGGTGCTAGCACTCAAGCATGCGCGTATGAGCACGCATGCAATTTTCAACATGGGAGACAAAAAAAGTTAGCCACCACTGTTGTAGGGGTTTGCATTAGTACCAAAGCTCAAATTTAGCTCTGCAGAGTTGTGCTTGGACAAGCCTAGATTATGAACTAGAAATGGGACAGCCCAGACAGAAGGTAATTTCCCAATCTGCCACAATGTTGGGGGGATTCTGGGAAAGAAGCTAAAAAATAAAGACAGATCTCCTCTATTAGAGTGAAAAAGGAATGAAATCACAGTCATGCCTGGCATTTCATTTAATCTTCCTATAAAAGACAATTCCTTCTCTCCCCTCTCCTCCACCCCATCCTAAACACCATATAGGTTTATTTCAACTCATATGTGTGGATATTTTTATGTAGATTTTTTTGTGTGTGGAATAGATCATTTTGCAGGCTGCATGTTCCTGTCAGTGACTGCCTTCCTCATCTGTGAATAGTCAGAGGGTGGGAAAATATTGTCACAAGTAATCTCATTTTCAATATTTGATACAGAAATGTATTGAATGTATTGTATTGATACAAACGGCAGAACTGGACAGTGACAAATCTCCAGTTTTTATACCAGCCTCTGGAGAGATGAAGATGGGGATAAAAGTGAAGGAAAATAAACATGAATCTTGATTCTCCACTGTTAAACATTTAAAATCAGAAACAGGACTGTTGTCATCAAAAACTGTTTCCAAGTGTCAGAATCCTTTGCTTCTTTTGCACAATTGTTTAATATCATGGTTTTGTATATTCATATCCATTTCATTGTGGTTGTACAGGAAAATTGTCAATGTAAGTTTGTTCACATTGCTTCTGGAAAAAATTAAGAACTGAGCCTGCACACTTCATTATGTGAACCAACCATGGCCTCTTCAGGTGAAGAACTTCTTACCATGTTTCATAATGGGTTATGAGTGCAGCAAAAATAAACAATTCTCTGAAATTTGGTGCACAAAACAAGGTCCACTGGTGAGTTGCAATTTCCTTAAAACAATATTGACCTTTCCCCACAACAGCTCATTTGGCTCATGTTCTGTCTAAAATTCTAGATAACAAATAATCCATTATCTCTATTTTTCAGGATCTCCTGGGTTTTCTGGGTTACAAGAAGCCCTGAGTGCCATCAACGACATAACGCACAATTACTGAATATAAGTGTTGGGAATTCATAGAAAAAATATATATCCAGAAATCTACAGTTTGTCCATATGTATATTGAAAGAGGAGATAACTGCATATAGATATAAAACAATGTTTGACAATTTAAAAATCATCATTGCAAACTTATTTTTCCTCCATTTTAGGAATAAATTTAATACCATTTACTGTAGTAATACTGGAAAATTGATCCTGTTTTTATTTAGTGCCAGAAACATGCTTCTTCTTTGCTTAGAATCTGTTTCCTGCAAAGTGTTTCTCTGTCAGGAGTCACATACATTCACATTTTCTTAGCTTTCTTGTGGTTCTGAACATTCTCTGGGCTCTTCCAGACTGCTGTGCCAAAGTGCTACTCACTAGTTCTAAAACAGTTCTAAATTGTGTTATCTCAGTACTGATCCCTATTCTACAACAGTAACATGATACGTAAAAATGCCTGTGCATATCTTCCTATTGTGGATCATATTATGTGTTGGTCTTCCAGAAGAGCACCAAACTTGTGTTTATAAAAAAAATGACATCTATCACAATAAACACTATGGAATATTTTGGATTCTAGGATTTTCTGCAGAAATTTGGCTTTTTTCCTGCAGTAAAGTTAAATGATCATGAAGGAATGGGGTAGTTGCTACTGCAACCTAAAGTAGTGAAAAGAGAGATTGATACATAATAATGCTTAGAAGAGCCCGCATAAGACAAAACCCAGGGGTGGGATTCAAATTTTTTAACAACCGGTTCTGTGGGTGTGGCTTTGGTGGTGGGCATGGCTTGGTGGTCATGTGACTGGGTGGACATGGCTTGGTGGTCATGTTATTGGCTGGGTATGGCCAACTCAATATCACTCACATCAAGGCACAGATCTCCTCCCCTGGCCTCCCATGGCTGTGGGGATGCTGCAACAGTTGTAAGTGTGAAAAATGGTCACAAGTCACTTTTTTCAGTGCCATTGTAACTTTGAATGGTCACTCCACACAAGCAAAGTACCAATGAAGGAGGAAAAAAAAAAAACCCTCCAGAGACGTTCCTGAGACAGGAAGTCTAGTCATGCCAAGAATGTAATAAGGGTTAACAGAGAGGCAGTTTCTGCAAGCAACACCAGAATGTTTCCTTCTTGCCTTCCTTACAGGATTAGGCCAGTAATTTCTTCTAACAACCCGTTCTCCAAACTGCTTAGAATGTTAATAACTGGTTCTAGTGAATAGGTGCGAACTGACAGAATCCCACCCCTGACAAAACCTTATGATAGATGAGAATAAATGTAGCTCAGGGTTGAACTGTGAAGTCCTTGGTGTTTTCTGAGCTTGGCTGGGTTTTTTTGGCAGACATTTTGTTAATGAACTTGAGTAATGAAATGACTACCAAAACAAAAATCAAGCTCAGAGACCACCAAGAATTCCACTAAACCTTGTATTTGCTCCAGTTGCAAAATTAGTGTCTCATCTCTCTCCCCTTGCATTTAATGGAGGCACTGTTTGTTTGCAGCACTGAAATTCCACAACATCATGTGCGCACCCCTCTACATGGGAAAAGTTGATGTTGTCTGTTCATATAGAGATCTTAAGAAAACATTAGCACAGCAAAGCTGGAGGAAACAAGCTGGAGATTTGGTTACTTTGGCAATAACTTCCTGTTCTGCAGAACATCACTGGCCCAGACTTCAGATGAAAAATCTCAAAAGTTGCTTTTTCAGTAGTTCCTTGTTTTCCAACAGGAGGCTTATCTTTACTGCTGACCTTGGTGCAATCCCAGCATGTCGTAATGGTGGCTGGCTCTGTGGTTAGTGTCATTCATTCATTCTCTATTGCTCTGCCAAACTCGTGAGGGAGAGCGCTGGCCAATGAAAAGAATAGGTCAGAATGTCATTTGTGTGAAGAAAACTGGGCCACTTTAATAAAGCTTCAGATGAATGCTGGCCAAGAGAGCCACAAAATGATTCCAAACTAAGCTGAGCAGAAAATTGTCAGTTTGCCATACTACTGATCTCATGTCCTGCTTGGGGGCTTCCCAAAAACATCTGTTTTAACAGTGGGAGAATAGAAGGTAGACTATGAGGCTTTTGGTCTAGTCTAGCATGGCTCTTACCTTCTGCTTGAAGAATCAAGCAGACTGGTTTGTAAGGGTGTCCTCTAACATCTACTTGATAGCACAATTGCTTTCCTAGAGGTCTGTATCTCACAGTCATGGGAACAAACTCCAGGTAGAGTGAAATAGAGCATTATTTTCTCACCATCTTCTAGTGTCCTTTGTTGCCTTTGCATGATAATGATTCTTAGAATGCATATATGTGCTTTGGATGTATCTGTGTCCTACATCTCTAAGACTAACCAACATAGTTAATCCCATTTGCAGATGTGGAGAAAGGAGGAGATGGACAAGCAGTTATCTACTTTAGGGAAAGAATTTGAGCCAAGAGACTAGATTTATAGCTCAGTATATGAATACTTACACAACTATTGATACTAAGAAGAAGTGGGAAAACAGCCATGAGTGCAATTGGGAAAACTCTGCCTTAGGTGAGTCATCATCCTTGAGGCTCTATTTGGTATATGTTTTATTTGTAGTTTTCCTTTAACTTAACAACCAATGTTTTTTGTGGACAGGCTGTATTTGTAATGGGTATTGATTGGTCCTATTGCAATGTTGTTCATACTTCAGCAGTGAGATAATCCTCTTTTAAATTTCCCCTTGAGCCCAAGTTTGATGTTTCTATTAGAATGTTTAAAAGAGACATTGGGCTTTTCCTCATGGCTCAATCTTTAACTGCCATCCACCTATCCTTTTCTAGGCAGAACGTATCAGCAGAACATTTATTTCTTTCATCAGCAATCCCTGTTCTGCCATATTGCTCAACTTATCTGCAGTGCACCTTATTTGCAAATGTATTAAGTTGATGAATTCTCCAATTTTGTTTCTCTCCTCACTCACAAAACACCATCAACAGATGAGAAAATAGTCACCAACCAGTATCCTTAACATGAAATGTTAATATTTGTTGCTGGATAAAGTCTTACACTCATAGAACATAGAACAATAGAGTTGGAAGGAACCTCAGATGTCTTCTACTCCAACCTCCTGCTTGAGCAGGAGACATATCATTTCAAACAAATGGTTGCCCAGTCTCTTTTTGATAGCCTTCAGTGATGGAACACCCACAATTTCTGAAGGCAAGCTATTCCATTGGTTAATTGCTCTCACCATTAGGAAATTGCTTCTCTCCTTGGTTAGTTTCTGTTGTTTATTATGTTGCTTTTTGGTGCTTTGGAAAATAGTTTGACTCCTTTGTAGGAGTCCCTCAAATATTGGAACAGTACTATCATATCCATCCAGTCCTTCTTTTCATTAGACTACACATACCCAATTCCTCACATATCACACTAGCTGGAAAGTGACACTAAAATGCACAAAATTGGATTCTGGTCTCCACTTATAGCATCCATGTCTTCTTTGTATCCCTATCCCAGATATTAACACTTGTTGGGTTTTCTCCTCTTATCTTTCTTTCTCCAATTGTAAGAAAAGCTGACTGCTGCACTTACTGCATTGTTTGCTCAGAGAGAAAATAAGCTGTTTTGTTGCTTAGAATGGAAACTGCTAATAGTGACGGGAAAGCAGTTCAGTTTTAGCAAATTTTGGGAATATTTTGAAGATGTCTGGAGGAGTTCCAAAAAGGAATCACATCCTCCATTACTTACTGCAAATTGCTATAATATAAACATTCAGTTAGTACCCATCCCTTTCCTAGAAGAAAAATATTTTGAGAAATATTAAAAAGGCAGAATATTATATTTCCCTGGAAACATGTTCTTTTAGAGGCAGGAAGCAGACTCACTCTTAATAACTCCCACCTTTCTTAATAGCCCTAAGCAGATACCAGCATTTAAGAGATAAAGAAATAGCTAGCTTAAGCAAATTTCCCGCAGCAAGATCTGAACAAAGGTAGGGTTAGCCCTCAGCCATAATAGGAATTTCCCAACAAGCCCCTTCATTGCATCACACTCCAAACTTCAACAAAACTTAGCTCAGACAACCGACAGAGTTGGTTGACCACATGACCCCTACAACAACCAATAGAACAGAACAATAGCACAGGAACAGGAAGCTCAAGTTCAAAGCCCAAGATAAGGTATAAATACCCCCCACTCTCAACCTCAGGTGGTCAGCTGCCCAGAACTCATGTGGTTCTGCTTCATCAATAAATGGACCCTCTTTCCAATCAGCCTTCAGTCTCCATTTTGTCTCCAGTGCCTTTCTCCCAGCTTGGAATTGGATCTGGATATTTATTCCAACACATTTCCTCTGGAAATGAAATGAGATGAGGAAAATCCTGGCTGATTGGAATTTTGAACTTGAGTTCACCAGAGAGCAACTTCATATGTTCTTAAGCAATAATTGTGTACAGTGAGACCTTGCTTCTCAGTAAATAGGAACCATCCATTTTTTTTGTAATTTGGAAGTATATAAACATTAGGAAATAAATTAAAATCACTAAATAGCCCCAGAGCCAAACTACACTGCCTGTGTTTATCGGCAGAGATTGTAATACAAACTTGGATTGTTAGACTTCTGCTCAGCTCCAAAGTCCAAATCTTGTGGTTCTTACCATCCTACCTCAATACAAGAATGAGAGATAAGAAGAGCAGCCACAGAATAATGAACATCCTCATATACCCAATGCTGACCAGGATGGGATACGAATCCACGCACAATGGATTAGCAGTTCATTGCCTTAACCATTCATCCACCTCATCCACTTATTTACCATCAAAGAGATGGGGTGAATAATGCATTTTCAAAAAGCCTCTTTCACTCGCCTGGTGATTTGATGGGTAGGCCTATGTAATTACGCTGCCTATGTATAGAAATGGACTTGCCATTGCCTTCTTCCAGAACAATTTTCATTTTAAAACTTCCCAGTGTTGATATTCTCAGGAGGACTAACTAGAGCCAATCCAGGTACTTTCTAAGTCCAGAAAAAGATTAGCCAATTTCAGTAAGTTATACAACATCATTTAATTGTTAAAGTGGTTTCTTGAATAAACAACTGTTGTATAAAACTGTAGAGTTGAAAGATATTGAATAATATTGCTGTAGGAATAATTGTTCTCATGAGAAAGCCTCTCTCCTCCCCCTCCCAGAACAGACAATTTAAAGTAGAAAATCCTGTTTAGAGTAGGAAGGCTGGAGAGTGGAAAGAAGATGCAGACCAGGGCTATCAAAGGGGAGGCATGGTGGAATCATGTCTTTGAACGCCACACTTTTTTTAGCTGCTTTGTATGTGTAACAAAAGATGCATTTAGAAAAACAGCAGGGCTTCAGTCTTGAAGGCACCACACACACACACACACACACACACCACTTACTACTTTACAATATTATTCATTCTAATTAATGTTTTGATTTTTATTAAAGATGTTGCTTTCCATAATTTTAGCTGAACATAGAGGTCCCCTTGTATTAAAAATTTGACCTGGAATAATTTTCAGAAGGCTAAAATAAACTGGGTGAATTGTGCCACCTGCTGGTTCTACATTCTGCCTGCAAATTGTTTGGAAAGTCAGAGAGGCACAAAAT